TAATCTTCCATCTTTAAATGTTATTTTATTAGAAAAATCTTCTTTTAATTCTGTTATTTCAGGTTTGTCTTTTGTTATGCTAAGTTCATATTCTTCTGGAATTAAATGTATATGTTTACTTAGTTATATTATTTTACTAATATCTTTACATTCTTTATGGACTTATATGTATTGTTTTTTAGAATAAATATTTCCATATTTAGAATTAGTAAATGTATATAAAGCTCTATATTCTATAGTCATAAATTGATCTCCTGGTTGCATTATATCATTCATATGTAACTTAAAATGTAAACCTAAGACTTTATTAAAGTTTTATTTAGAATTAGTAAATGTATATAAAGCTCTATATTCTATAGTCATAATTTGATCTCCTGGTTGCATTAGATCATTCATATGTAACTTAAAATGTAAACCTAAGACTTTATTAAAGTTTTTATCTTTTAATGATACACAATATTTTGGGTAATACGTAAATATTATTTTTTTGGTACGTTAAATCTCCTTCTATAGTTCCTAGATGACTATCTCTCAAGTTTATTATTCTTTCATCATGAAAGCTTACAGTTAAGGGTGCATTTATTCATTTTCTAAATAATAATTAAAACATTATTCGTATTCCTGTTAAATAGGCATATTGGATTTTTTCACTTTATTTTTCATTAGTCTTTATTAATAATTCTTCAACTGTATTTTTTGTTCAAATATTTAGTTTATGTGTCCCTTAGATTGTTCTAACATTTATAATTTTTTCAATTATATGATATTCATTTATAGCCATTATTTCTCTTTTCCAAATTTTATCTAAGACTTCCCATTTTCCTATTTTTAAATCTAAAGATAATTTTTGCATTTTCTTGTATTTGTTATTATCAAATGTTACTTTTAATTCATATCCATCTATTCCTTCATATTCTTGAATATATATATTATCACTTTCTATTTCCTTTATTTCTTTATTCGGATTCGGATTCATATTCTTTTCAACTTGTTTCACTTATGTATACTTATTGATCACAATATTGTTCAATATCAAATATTTCACTTAATTCATCTTCTATTTCTAAATACTCGTTTTGTAATATTTTGACTTTTTTCTTATTACAATAAGGGTTTATATAGTTTATTTCTTCACAATTCCAACATTTACATTGACTTTTATCTTTCTTGTAAGATTTTTTTTCTATTGTTTATATGGATTATATTTCATTTTATAATATTTCTTTCTAGGTTTTATAAATTTTTTCTTAAAATTTCTAAATTTTTAAAACTTTCTATTTTTATATTTTCTCTTATTACTTTCTCTTTCAGGATTACATCTCCACTGTATAAGTTTTTTTATATCTTCACAACATATCCTAGTTAATTTCTTTAATAATTATATTTGTTGACATATATATGCAAGTCTTTCAAATATAAATTTTATTCTTGATCTTAAAGTTCTAGGTATTCCAATATAATCTATAACATATTTTTCAAACTTCATTTTAAAATATATTCCACATGAACCTGGTAGTTTATTATAATACATATCTTGATATATTTCTTGGCTTTCATTACTATAAAATTGAACATAATAATAATTCTAAACTCACAAGTATATTCTTTAATTTTACACATATCACATATTGATAAATTTATTAATTTTATTCCGGCATTATCTTTTCTCTTGCTGATTCTCCTTCAGCATTTCTTAACCAATTTTCTCCTAGAAATTCATCTAAAATATATTCTACGAGTCTTTCTATTCCTTTTCTTTCTGACTTTATTACTTATGTTTGTACGTTTCTTTTTATTAGTGTTTTTGTATTATCGTTTATTCCTTCCCACCAATTCCTAACATTTCCTTCAAAGGATGCTATTAAAAGATCTATTCTTCTTTCTGTATTTTCCCATTATCATCTATAAAAAGAATAATATCATTGAATCCGCTCAAGTTAATAAAGCTTTTCTTAGTATCTATTTTACAGTTTAGATATAATTTTGTTCCTTCATGATTAATAGGTTTATCATAATTATCATTTAATTCAATTCTGTCTTTATATTTGTTTCTTTTAAGTGGTTGTCCAATATCTCTTATCTTATCATAGAATTGTCTATATGATTTATTGTATATAGGTGTATAACTTTAATCTGGATCTGGTAATTCATTTTTAGAAGTTCCTGTTGGATTAGGTTATCCTCCAGTATTGATTAAGACTTGGTATTCACTTGTATTTTCTAAACTTAATTGATCAAATTTTTTTATGAGCAAATCTAACTTTTCATTCATCTTTATTATCTTGCTTTTCATCAATTTTTAATTTTCCAAGTAATTTTTCCTAGATTTTTCTTATTTTTCTAATATTTTAGGTAAAATATTTTTTCTAAATTCATCATCAATACTTCCTACTTCTATCACTATATATATATTTTTTTCAATATGTTTCTTTCCTATTTTAGACATTTCTTTTTTCTATAAGATTTTTGTCTATTTTCTTATCTTTATTTTTATTGTTTTCTTTTAATTCTCCGACTTCAAGTTTTAATATATTTATATCATTTCTTGCTTCTTTTAATTCATTTTTTAAATCTTGACATCATTTATTAGTGTTTTTATTAATGATTTTAATTCATCAAAATATTCACTAGATATTATTATTTTATTATTTTTTAATTTCTTTTAAAGCTTCTATATAATAATAAGTTATACGCATTCTTTCTTCATTTATTTCTCTTTGTTCTTTTAAGCGTTCTATTAGTTTTATTATTTGTTTTCTTTTTATTTTTAACTTAAAATTATTCTCTTCCTTTTCTATGTAATTATCTAAGTCTTTAATAGTTGTATTTTCTAGATATCTTATTATTTTTTCATAGTATTTTCTTATTATTACTTGTCATTTTCCTTTTAATTCTTGTATAAGTTTTTTTTTTCTCTTTTATAGTTTGTTTTGTTTCTTGTTCTGGTTGTAACCATATATTTGTTATATTCTGACTATTGCTTCTTTAGTTCTTAATTTTTTATCTAATTCTATTTTAATGTCTTCAGATGAGTATCTTTTTAATAAAGGCCAGTTTCTATGATCATCCATAATTTTCTTTATAATATAAATTAATTTCTCCATCTTCAAATTCTTTAATAATTTTTTCGTATATATATTCATTTTTTATTGACTCTACTATAAGTTTTTCTAATATTTTTTATCTTATTTCTATAGGTAGGTTTTTAATTATAATTAATGTTTTTATTTTTAATCCATTAGGAATAGGTTCTGAAAATACATAACATCTTCTACCCTCTTTTAATATATGATATTTATTTACTTTTGTAGTACTACTTTGAGCGAACAAAAATCAAATAAATGTAAAATCAAATAAAAATAAAATCAAAATAAATCTATATCAACAATTTATAAAGTTTAATTAAATAGGGGTTTATATTTTTTAACCAATTTTAAAAATCTTTAAACATTCTTAGTATTTTCTAAATATTTTATTATATTTTCCTTTGTTATTTTATGATTTATAAGAAGGATATAAAATCTGATAATTAATCTATTAGCTTGTTTTTGAGTGATTTTTGGGGGAAGAATTGATTTTGAATAGTGATNTGATAGATATTATTTTGAAAGAATGTATTTTGGAATAGTAGATTGATAGAGAATGTGTGGTTGAAAAATAAGGAAAAATTATTGATGTGGTGGAAAATATTATTTTATTGAAAAATATGTGGTTGAAAACGAGAATTGATTTACTATAGAAAAATCTAATCCCTCCCAAACAAGGTATATCTTAACCTTTCATATGCATTATACATCTTATGGAATTCAGGTTTCCTCATTTATAATTAATGGATACTGAATGAAATAATATATTTAATAGTTTGAAATTTTTTAAGCTTAAGTATTTTTAAGGACTTAAATGAAAATTTCTTAATACAATGATATCTTGGTTATAATTTTTATGGATAAATATCACAAAACGTTCCTACTTTTCAATGTTATTGTGCAAAATGTTCCTACCATTCATTTTTTGGCATTTTCACCCCTACATTCCACCTTTCAATGTGAAAAACGTCATTTTCACATATTTTTAACATAAAATGACCAATATACCATCCTATATAAATAAAAAATAAAATAAAATAAAGAATAAATTGCAATCTTACTCCTAAATTTTTAAAAAAATACAAATGAGTCCAAATATATTATTAAAATATTAAAAATAATCAAAAATAAAAATAAAAACTGTTTCTCTCTCCTCATCAGAGAAATTGATTCTTTATCCATTTTTATGTTCATCTTCTTCAGGAGAAGATGAGGAGAGAGAAATAGTTTTTATTTCTATTTTTTATTATTTTTAATATTTTAATAATTTATTCGGGCTCATTTGTATTTTTTAAAAATTTTAGGAATAAGATTGCAATTTATTCTTTATTTTTTAAAATTTTCTGTTTTATTTATATAGCAGGGTATATTGATCATTTTATGTTAAAAATATGTGAAAATGACATTTTCCGCAATGAAAGGTGGAAGGTAGGGATGAAAATGCCAAACATGAAAGGTATGGACGTTTTGTACAATGACATTGAAAGATAGGGACGTTTTGTGCTATTTACCCTAATTTTTATATTTGGGGCATTTTAGGTAGTTTCCAATGTTAAGAAAGTCAAAGGCCAAAGTGAAAATACAACATTTTATTTTGGTTATTTTCATGTATTTCTCCCACGTCTTTCATGGATCTCACATTTTTTTAATCACACAATTTAAAAACTTTTATTACAATTCATAAAAAATCTAATTTTAATTCCACCAAACAACCAAATCTTATAGGGTTGATTAACAAAAGCCTGAAAACTTCCACTATTTTGCAATTTCAGTTGTTTTTCCCTTTTCAATCAAGTTTGGCAATGATTAGTTCTTCATCCTTCTTTCTTTGAATGCAGTAAAGGGGCTCAACGTGTTTGATTAAATGCCTGAACCAAGCGCCACCATAAAAGTAAGAGGTATCTTAATCTTATTATGAATTACAGTCCCATTCTAACTTCCAAATCCCGCCACCTCTTCGATAAGCTCGGAACAAACCTTCCAAAAGGCAAGTCCCTCCACGCCCACCTCCTCAAAACAGGCGTATTCCCTTCCTGCCCATTTCTGTCCAACACCCTCGTCAACTTCTATGCCAAATGCCACCTCTTCTCTGAAGCCCATCTCGCTTTTGTACAAATTTCGTACAAAGACACTGTCTCATGGAACTGCCTCATCAATGCCTACTCTCAATTGAGGCTTCGCCGCTACTCTCTTTCGGCTCTCGAGCTCTTCAAACAAATGCTTCAACACCACGCCCTCCCAAACTCCCACACTTTCGCTGGCATTCTATCTTGTGCTGCCATGTTGGAGGACTCCATGATTGCCCACCAAGCCCATTCTTTCGTGGTGAAATTGGTTGACTCCTATGATGTTTTTGTGTATAGTTCATTGTTAAATGCGTACTGTAAGTTGGGTGATTTGTACCATGGTCGAAAAGTGTTTGATGAAATGGCTGAAAAAAATTCAGTCACTTGGGCTACCATGATTTCTGGGTACGCCTCGCAGAGGCTTACTAAAGAGGCTTTTAGTCTTTTTAGAATGATGACAGCTGGAGGAGGTGAGGGTGTGAACGAGTTTGTGTTGACTAGTCTTCTCAGTGCTTTAGTGTCCCCGGAGTTTGTGGTTACAGGTAAGCAAGTTCATAGTTTGGCCGTCAAGACTGGATTGTCGTCGATTGTTTCTATGGGGAATGCTGTTTTAACCATGTATGCAAAGTGTGACAGTTTGGATGCTGCCATTCGGGCATTTGAGCTCTCGATTGCTAAAAATTCAATCACGTGGTCTGCCATGATCACAGGTTATGCACAAAGTGGGAAGAGTGAGAAGGCATTGACATTGTTTAAGGAGATGCATCTCTGTGGAATTAAACCTAGTGAATACACCCTTGTTGGAGTGCTCAATGCTTGCAGTGACAGTAATGCAATTTATGAAGGAAAGCAGGTGCATGGGTATTTAGTGAAACTAGGGTTTGAGTCTCAACTATATATTATGACTGCTTTGGTTGATATGTATGCTAAATGCGGTGGCATAAATTATGCGAGAAAGGGATTTGACTATCTATTAGAGCCAGATCTTGTATTATGGACGTCCATGATTGGAGGCTATGTACAAAATGGAGATAATGAGAGTGCTATTAATTTGTACTGTAGAATGCAGCAGGAAGGAATTGCACCCAATGAGTTGACTATAGCCAGTGTGTTGAAGGCCTGTTCAAGCCTTTCAGCTTTGGAGCAGGGAAAACAAGTGCATGCTCATGTAGTTAAGAATGGGTTCAGTCTTGAAGTTCCAATAGGAAGTTCTCTCTCGACTATGTATGCAAAGTGTGGGAGCCTTGATGATGGCAATCTTATCTTCAGGAGGATGCCTGCCAGAGATGTAGCATCGTGGAATGCAATGATTTCTGGCCTTTCTCAAAATGGCCTTGGGATTAAAGCGCTCGAACTATTTGAAGAGATGCAACTGGAGGGTGCAAGGCCTGATTATGTTACTTTTGTAAACGTTCTTTCTGCTTGTAGCCACATGGGATTGGTGGATAGAGGTTGGGAGTATTTTAAACTGATGTCTAATAAATTTGGTGAAGCTCCAAGGATAGAGCACTATGCCTGCATGGTTGATATCTTGGGTCGTGCTGGGAAGCTCTATGAAGCCAAAGAATTTATTGAATCAGCTACCATTGAGCATGGTCTATGTTTGTGGCGCATTTTGTTAAGTGCTTGTCGAAACCATCGCAACTATGAGTTGGGAGCCTATTCAGGGGAGAAACTAATGGAATTAGGCTCACAGGAATCATCTGCTTATGTGTTGTTGTCAAGCATTTATACAGCTTTGGGAAGATTGGATGATGTGGAACGAGTAAGAAGGATAATGAACCTTAGGGGGATAAGCAAGGAACCAGGATGTAGCTGGATAGAACTGAAGAGTCAGGTTCATGTTTTTGTTGTTGGGGACCAATTACATCCACAAATTCAAGATGTACGCTCTGGGTTATGGAGGTTAAGCAAGCTAATGAAGGATGATGAATGTAGTTCAATTTTGGAAGAATTAGTCTGAACTAAAGAAGTAATTATGTCTTGGCTCAGCTACACCAAGGAAAGTCATAATAGACTCCTGAATATGCAGCTTCATTTTCATACATTGGGCATTTACTGCATAAGGTGCTTGAAACTAGAAAAACGGATTTCTTAGATGCTGCTGGAATGGGGAAACAGAAATGAAGGAACGTAGAGGTGATGATGTGGATTACAATGCTTTATATAGAATGTGCATTATGATTATCCAAAGACAGAATCAGGAACTTAGATACCTTGCATGGAAGGAAAGTGCTAACAATGTTAGTATTGGAGCTTTTTGTGAACAACATAGCCACAGTGAATTTCTAAGGAGTATTTGATATTGGTTGATGTAAAAAAAACAAAAAAAAAATTCACGTGTAATTTTATTTTTTTTACATATTAGCTCGGCTTGTAATTCGGTCGGGATCATTTCCTGCATTCATACATAGAGGTTGAAGATGGGAAGGTCCTTGAACTTTTGTTCATAACACTAGTGTGGCAGATATCTCTCTATAACACTAGTGGCAGATATCTCTCTAACACTGAGCCAGTTGCATGGAAAATTACTTGTTGAAACGGACCTGCACATGAATAATGACTTGGACAAAAGGAGGCCAGAAATTTCCAATCTTACTCAAAGCAAGATTTGCTGTCATATACTTTGGAACAATCTAAACGCAGTTGGACACATATTCGAAGTAGGATCCAGATGTTGATTCTTAAATCATAAGTTGTGAATAGCATTTGTGCTTAATTTGTAGAAAACACGTTCTCATTTTTTTGGCCATTGAGTACACAAGATATATCTGTTATGATTTAAAGATTTGGGACTATGTTACACCTTTTTGAAAGATTTAGAACCTCTGCCGCAAATTTCCCCAAAAGTGTTCAAATTGGTTAAGAAGATGATTACGTTTAAACCAGACAATTCTATTTTTTGTTTCCAAATTTCTAGTAATTTCTCCCAACTGATAAATTTCCAAACTCCATTTTTCCACATCTGTCATTCGCTTCTCTAACTACTACCATGAGTGCCCTCAATTATGCACCAGCACCACCATCCACTTCCTTCAGTTCCAAATCCTCGGACGGTCGCCAGTTCGGCAAATTCCTCTTCTTCTTCGGCACCGGAAAATCCTCCCTGTCAACTGCTCTTTCATCTCCCCAGTTGTCCTATTATTATTCCCCTGTGTCAGCTGCTGCGCTGCAGAATAAAAGGAAAGATAATGGTGCTGTCACGGAGCAGGGTGCAACTACTCCGGTGAGAATAGTGGCTCTTGTGGGCGAAGGTAGCGTCAGTCCGCTCAATTCCACGCCTTGGACTGAAGTCATGCGCCACACAGTGAGTATTGTGTATTATCTCGGTTACATTATAATTTCTGTATATTTAATTTGGTATTTGGTATGCTTGAAACAAATAGTAGACGTGCTTTAACTTTAAAGAATACTGCTAAGGCTGATTAGGGACAATAATTTCTGTAGAGGCTTTCAAATCAAAACTTGCAGCCTAGTAATTAAATTTTTTACTCTCTTGATTTCCTTAATGGTATTCCAAATTTGAAGCATATAAGATATTGATAAAAAAGTTTATTAATGGTCTATTAGCATTGCAATGATATATAATTCAAACTCATGTTGAGGAGGTGTCTCAATAACCATCCACTAAAATAGGTACTTGAATAATGATATTCATCGTCTCCGCTTACCCATATGGCCATAAGTGGTGGCATATAGACGACTTTAATTGACTTTCCATCTTAATTGTCATCTTAAATGTATGATATAAGATTACAAATCAATTATTGTCACATCACCGATGATTGATAAGCACCACTTATGAATAGCAATATTCCTTATAAACTTTGAAATCCAGATTAATATTGTTTAAAGCTTATTTGTGTATCAATTTTCGTGCGACACTTGCAAGGGTTGTGCCTGGATAAGTGTTGACAGTTGAAGTAGGAGCATAAATCATTCCTCTATCTCTTGACCTTTGATGTTTCAGAATTGAGCTTTCTAGAACACCTGGATAAGTGTTGACAGTTGAAGCAGGAGCATAAATAATTCCTCCATCTCTTGACCTTTTATGTTTCAGAGTTGAGCTTTCCAGAACAAAAGGATTAAGTTGTATAGTTATACTTTTGTTTACCAAGCACAATTGAATTAACTCTTACTGTTCTAAGGAAGTTGAATGTTTCTAAAGGATAGTATGAAACACTAAAAATTATTAAAAATGTAAAAACCTCAAATTATCCATCGGACTCTTGAGCTGTGTTGGGGTTGCCTCAGAAATGCTCTGCCATATAGCAACTTGTAATGCACTGGATTTAAGCTGTTATTGCCAGAAGCTAATTTCCTTATTGTTGTGTTATGTAGTGCCACATCTCTGTGCCCGTGGATGTATTCTACAATTCCTTGTCTTTTGTTTTTACAATAAAAATACACTACGCAGTTACGTATACTTAACTACTCTGGGAAATTTACCTACAATTTTTTTTTTTTTTTTTTTTTTTTTTTTTTGTTTTTTTTTTGTCCCTTTTTTTGATGGAATAGTTTTCATTATTGTGTTTTTTTATTGTTTGAGCCCCATTTTTTGAAGGAATAGATTTCATAATAGTGATTTTTTGAATAACGTGTGGTTAAAAGTGGGAAAAAATTTTGGATTTACATGTAAAATTATTTTATTAGGAGAATGTGTGGTTGAAAATGAGTTTGGGGAAAAATGAATTTTTAAAGAATGTTGCTCAAACATGGGCTTTAGTACGATTCATTTTGGGAAACTCAATCCTTTATGCTGAGAGTATATACTGTTTTTGAATTTTAGGCTCACCTTTTCATTCATTCCATATAGTTCAGTTTGCATTTCTTTCTACATATCATACTAGCATTTCTGGTATCCAGTTCCATGATCTCCTAGTGATTTTGATCGGTTTACCTTTCTCTGATCTTATTTTGTTAAACTTGCATCACGATGTTTAAAATCCTTATTCTCACTCTTTTCTAATGCATGTAGGCAAAAAGATTAAAATGGGTCGATGAAGGGTTTGAAATGCTGGTGTTTACTGACAATTTCTATCAATCTAATGATGAAACAATGGGGAAGCTTCGAGAGGCATTAGACCTTGCAAATATTTTGATGATTGTTGCTGTTACGAATGAAGAATCAGTCAGGTGGGTGCAGGCCAATTTCCAGATTGTTCCAAATGTCATATGCTTTGATTCTTCTCCAGCATTAACTAACAAATTGGGGGGCTCCATTATCCATACAGAAACCAAAGGGAGTATACTCAGTAAATTACCATTACCTCAACCAAAAAAATTAAAGGAATCAGAGGAAATAGTTCGCACTGTATCTGAGGCTTGGGACAGACGTAATTCGGATGATATACGATTTTGTTTGTTGGTTGTGATAAATGCTTATATAAGGTCAGTTCCAATACTGCAGAACCTACGTTCAAAGGGATTTTCCACATTAAACTGCATGGTAAAAAATTGTGGTCCTCAAATATTGAATTGTCTGTTAGATCCAAATTGTAGGAAAGCTCTTCAATGCTTGAATGAGTGCAGTCCTGTAGATCAAGTATGCAACTATAAATGTATTGCTTCATATGAAAGTCCAAAACTAGAAGAGTTTTCTCTGTGCGTACTTCAAAAGCATAACTGTCTTGCATTGGATGCAAAAATCCCTGATAAACCTTATGTTACTCCAATTGGTGTGTTTCGAGGAGAGAGTATGTCTCATGAGATTGCTGAAGATACTTTTGTGGGGTGGTTGGGGAAGTTGGATTGGAGTTGGCGGGTTGTAGCTGGGCAGAACCCAGCGTATGACCAGTTTCCTTGCCAGTACCAGTTGTTCTATAGGGGAAAGGCAAAAGGATCATTCTGGTATGAGCCAGTTTTTCAGGTAAAGACGATTGAGGGTGATCTCGTCTGGAGAAGACGAAAGTATTGCGTTAAAAGAGGGAAAACTCCAGGGACGTTTTACTTCAGCGTATTGGACAATGGGGTTGTTTCAAATGAATACTGGACAATCGTGGATGTTACTGATGATTTAGGTTGGGGTTTGTTTCATTACCACGGAGCTGCTCGAGTCGCAGGACAGTCGTATACTGGGGCAATACTTGTTAGCCAAGACGGCATGTATCCAAATAAGAGTCAGAGTGAGAGATTGGCTTCTGCATTGGATAGATGCAATATTAAAGAGTGGGAGCTATTTACTGTTGATAATTGTTCGTGCGAGAATCCTCCTTTGGGTCTTCCTGAAGGTTCGAGTTTGCATTATAAGATAAAAGTTGGAGAAGATATCAAAGATAAATAATTTTAAGGTTAGGGTAAATATGGCTGGTATTTCGTCATGCGGAATCATATGAAACGATAAAAGAAAAATACCGAATATATGAAGTTTCTGTTTATATATTATATGGATGGTATGTTCTGTAGGTACAATATGATTGGGGATACGTGTTGGATAATTCTATATATGGAATGCTAGCGGGAAATTTTTTTAAGTTGATTCTTGTATTACTTCATTCCCTGGATGTATCTTTGTACACCGGATTTTATGAATGGAAATCTATAAGTTTGATGGCATGAATGCTGCACCATCAATGTTGCAAAGTTATTACAAAATTAATGTTCTCTATTTGAGGTTTCGAATAGAAATAACATCACCTCTTTTTATTGAAGTGGTTAGAAGCTTTTCCATCTCTCAAAGTTATTAATCAAAAGTTGATTAAAGTAAATAGCTTCATATTGCACGTTATATTGTAACTAGGAGTGCAATTATACGAAACTATTGAGAGATCTAATGAAACCATATATGCATGGTGATTAATTTCCTAACAGATTATATGTAACACTATGTATAGGCCTTTATACTAACCCTAAAGCAATGAAAGCAAAACCAACAATCCAGCAAGAATGCTTTTTCCTGTCTGCATCAACAGCCTTGTTCCGGCACTCTCTAACGCGATCGGAAAGAGACATTCTGATGTGGAAGCATTAGCCTTAACAATCTTCGCCAAACCCTGGAAATTACAAGCCTCCACATCCTGATTCTGCATTTGGAAATACATATTAAATGCATAGGAAATGTTGGCCTGTACGCTGGCCAGTTTATTGCAGGAAGAACCATAGTTCAGTGCTGTGCAATCTCCCATTGAACATGCATATCCTAGGTTGTCTGGAACAAGGGTCATGTTCTTCATGTCACCGCTGAACACACACCAATCTTTTTCCATGTACTTAATGCCCTTTGCGCCTATCGGCATTTTGTCCTGCCCTTGGCCAGTGAAATCCATTGGAAACTTGGGCTGTCCATCATACCGGAATACACCCCAGTGGCGCTCAAAATCCCCTGGAGCTATGCTCTTTTGATTCTCATCTGTGAGACTAAACAGATAATACTCAATATCTCCGGGATAAAGAGGGGTTCCCTTTTTTGTTGCCATTTTCTTGAAGAACCCGTCATAGAATATTTTAGCCAATTTAACATTGGCTTTGACGTGTCCCTCTGTTGGCCAACCAATCTCCCCAACAATGATTTTCATTTTCTTGATACCCACTTTTCTCAATGACCAAACAAGGGTATCTAAATTTGCATCAAACACGTTGGTGTATGAAATTCCCTTGTCCTGAACTGGTTTAGCATCACCATCAAAGAAGGCAAATTCCATAGGGAAATCAGGATTATTGTATAGACTCAGAAAAGGGTATATGTTGACAAGAAAAGGCGAGTTATTTTCTTCGAAAAACTTCAGAATTTGGATCATATTTTCTTTTATATCTGAACGGAAATTTCCTGCAGATGGAACATTTGATCCTGATTCATATACGTCTGCATTTTGAGGTGTGGTTACTTTGATTTTGTCCCCATGGCCAGCTTCATGAAGAGCTTTCTGAATATTCTTTATTGCTGGGAAAGTTGTCTTTATATTTGAACCATTGTAAGCCTTCAAGAATGGCTCGTTTCCAACAGCAATATACCTGTTAAGTCCATGCAAAACTCATAATAATATTCATCGAAACATATCATCTAAACATTTAGAACTATTAGATAATGAAACCAACAAGCTAGAATATTAGAAAATGGTAAGAAAGTTTCCTACTTGATCTTGACTCCTCCATCGTATAAATGCTTGGTAACATTTTCTTTGACCCAATCTTTGGCCTTATCATAATCATTGGCAAGTTTAGCCAATTGATTGTTAGGAATGCCAAGCATGACCTCAATCCCGGTTCCTGCAAAGAATTTGACGGTCCAGTGATCTGAGTCAAACAGTTTTATTTGATCGATTTTGTTGTCCTTAAGCATTTGAACTATCGTGCTGGGTTGCATATTTTGTGAAGCCTGGGTTCCCCAATTCATGCCTATACCCTGTACGAGGTTTGGCGAAATTAAGAATGCAAGAAAGGCCCATGATATCAGGACCCTGATACTGTCCATGGCGTCAACTGGGACTGAGAATTGAATCTGAATCAAATGAGGTTCGAATAGAGTAGACAGTTTTTGGGAATGGAATGCAAATTCTAGAGGTGGAGAATTGGGAATCCATGGAATCCATTGGTTTAGAGGATTGATTAGAGGAAAACAAGTAGCGAGGGAAAAGGGTTATCTCAGGTTTTTTTATTGGTTCATATACTTGGTCCAAATGGAGATTTCAAATGTCGAGTAGAGAGAAATTTTCGACAAAATATTTTTCACATAGAATGAAACTCTACTTGTGACTCAGAAATATAGTAACTTGATAATCTATGGCTAATTTCCATGCCATGACACTAGTATGATTAGAAAATAATTTTCTTTTATCCATATATAACATGATTAATTTGAACTTAAAATGAGAAAGATGCAACAATTTAGTACATGTGCGACGAAGTTTATAATTACTTTAAGTTGATTAAACTCTATTTTTATCTATACATTACAATTTTAATGATCCTTTATTATTTTGTTAAAAGAGTTTCAATTATTCCAATGGTAATGACATGCATGGTGATTACACGTAAAGATCTAATCCTTTTAAACAAAAAGTTTAGCATTAAGGACACAAGTGTTCTAAAGTATATTTTAGGGATAGAAGTTGCACATCCAAAGAGATAAGAAGTTACACACTCAAGGAGGGACATCTTCCTTAATTAACAAAAGAAAGATGTTTGGTTTGCTTTGAATGACTATAGAGATAGGAAATCAAACCATCACATATGATTGTAATTGACAGTCGAAAAAGATGATACGAATGGTAAATTTTCTGATGAAGATGGATATGGACAAAGATGAGTACAAAGAAGTATGAAGCATTACTAACTCAAGTGCTAACACGAGCTTTAATAGTTAACACATTACGATGTTGTACTTATTCCACTTTTCACAAGTTTCATTTGAGAATATTCCCAAATTCTCATAGAGTGGTCCTATTCTCACACACACAAGTATTGCACGCCACTTATATAAACTATAGTCTTTATGAAGTGTTTTTTGGCAAATTCAACCCTCCAAATGTTATAGGATAAATGCACTTACACCACAGAGATACAAATAAATAAATGTGCATTTTTACGGTCACCTTATAATTCTTTTGTTCCATTGAAACCAATTTCAAGATCTGGCGTCCCCAAGTTGGATATCCTTATATGTGGTTCATGATAATATGGATTTAAATCCCATCCCCTCGACGTACTCTAGATCTTTTCGGTGATCCCGTATCTACCACTGAATTTTGCATTTACGTTGAAGATAACTTAGTGACATTTAAAAGTAAGAAAAATAATGTTATTCGGCCCTCCATTGCTGAAAATAGATATTGCACAATGTCCATAACCACTAGAGTAATAATTTGGCATTTTACTTCACTTTGTGATTTAAATTTTACGTCATTTTTATCAAGTTGTTTTGAGATAACCAAATACTAGTACATATTGCTTCAAATCCTATATTTCATGAGTGAACCAAATACATTTAAGAATTTTTAGTTCGTGTTTGGTGGTGGAAATGATAGTGACTTGAACGGGTTAAATACAAAGTTAAAGATGTGCACGTACAATTTGGTATGTTGTTTGACACAATTAAATGATCCTAAGTTTGGTCGTGAATTTTTTTTTTCTTTTTACTTGCTAGAGGATAGGTCTAGCTCGCCTTCTAAGTTATATTTTCATTATAAATAAAATACGACGTCGTGAGTAATTTTGATTTGTAAAAAACAATTACATGATCCTAAACTGAATCTAAGAATGCTACAAGGAAAGGTAAAAACATAGCTAATCCACACACCCTATGAATACTTTCTCCACTTGCAGCACCTAAAAGTGCAGCTCCAAATGACACTCCGGCAACGGCTTCTTCAGCTGCCAATATTTCGATAGGGAAAACGCATGTGCCAATTGATGGATTATCAGGAACCACCTTGCCTAAACCCTGGAAACTGCATGACTTATTTTCCGCATACTGGCCCGTCATTTGGAATTGCATATTGAATGCGTAAGAAATATTGTGTGTAAAATCCAGGTGACTGCAGGATCCTCCAGGCGCCAGGGGGGTGCAATCTGCTTTCTGACAGGCCATCTGAAATTCAGTTTTCAATTTCGTCACATTACTGACGTCTCCGTTGAATATGCACCATCGCTGCGGCATACGGGTCACTCCTCGAGCCGTGGTTGGGAAGATATCACGCCCTTGTCCAGTGAAGTCGATCTTGTATTTAGGCACACCGTCAAAATTGTAGATCCCCCAGTGGCGTTGGAATGCGCCCCTGTCGATTTTTAGCAAGTTTTCATCAGACAGGCTATGTAGATATATATCGATAGGGGCTCCAGGATGCAGCGGGGTTCCTCGGTTGCTGGTGACATAGGGCAGGAGGCTTTTGTAAAATCGCTCGGCATTTTCAGGACTGGCGTTAGGATAACCGTCTGTTGGCCACCCAACTTGTCCCGCCACCAGTTTCATATCACGCACCCCTGCTTTCCTGATTGCCCAAAGGAATGAATCGTGAAGGAAATCGAAGGCGTTCGTGTATTTTAGGCCATTGTGGTCGACAATGGAGAAATTCGATTTGTTATCCAGAAACGCAAATTCAGGGTCCCATCCCCTTAGGTGAACATAGTAGATTGGGAAGACGTCCATGAAAAAAGGAGCATTGTTTTCTTTCTGGAAACGTATTAAATCCACCATTATATTCTTTATATCAGGCCGAAAATCTGCCTCTGATGGTTTCGATATATTGGTGTTTAGGACATCAAAGAAATGTGGAATTATTGCTTTGACTTTTTCTCTATAACCAGCATCATTGAGACCAGTTTGAACTACTTTTAACACATCAGATG